AAGCATTGGAACAGGCTGCCCAGGGAAGTGGTTGAGTCCCCATCCCTGGAGGTATTTAAAAGACGTGTAGGTGCGGCGCTTAGGAACATGGTTTAGTGGGCATGGTGGTGTTGGGTTGACGGTTGGACTTAATGATCTTAGAGGTCTTTTCCAACCTTAATGATTCTATGATTCTATGATTCTATAAGATGGAGCCCTGATTATGCCTTTAGCAACATTTGGCAGCATGGGTGTTCATGTCCATTGGAGTGGAGTGGCTGAGCTGGCTACAGGCAGCAGGATAGTTGGCTTGGAAGTACCATCACCATTATTAAAGTAAAGCAAACAGGATTTGCTTTTTAAATTACTTATTTAGTTTTGTGGAACAGTATTTTATGATTTTTTTTTTAAGTATCCAGTGAGACTTGGGGTAGAAAAATGTTCTCGGCAAATGTTAGGGACCCATGTTTAGTGTCAGTGACTGAAATACTAAGAGTGTATTTTCAAAAACGTACACAGCAAGGCAACTGCAGTGTAAAGAGCTCCACTTTCCCACCAGCAGCACACCTTTACTGCAGCTGGAAGAAGGTAACAGACACCTTCAGCGCTGATGAGGTAGTTCAGCACATCTCTTCACTACTTATCCTATATGCTGAAGTTACCAACCAGCATGCCTATTATCTGCGTACTTCTGATATAAGCAATTTTCTACTACAGGCAATCTGGACAGGTCCTGGTAGCTAATTTCACTAACAAGCTGAGATTCACTGCTTGCACAACTTCTAGTCACTGCTGAGATGGGCTGGATTTTAAAGTGACCTTGAAATAAGATTTTTTGCTTCTCACAAGTCCTCAGAATAATTTAGTAATTCTCTGCTTGAAACCCCCAAACACATTCACTCTCTTACATGCCAAGTTGCATATCTCAAAACACCCACTTAAAACCCATCTATTTTACAACCCAAAGCATTACTGGCACTTCAGGAAGCAGCAATTCAAGTATCTCAAAGGCCTTATCTTTTATACCAAGGCAGTCTTAATGGCAGGAAAAAGCTAGTTCAAATTCCCTCGAGCATAGCATACAGGCAAAACTTTCATTTTTACATCTTTCATTGCCTCTGCAACAGATACATATCTTGCATAATCTTCAGAAAGCTTCACTATTTAATTATTTTTGTATTTTCCACAGTTGTTTTCAGACTATATTGAGGTGTTGATCACATACAGGTTAATGCGTCGCTCTCATGGAGGCACTCTGCTGGGTTTCAGTTCAGTGAAGTTTCAAGTAATTCAAAATGTTTTCTGTTTCAGTAGTTCTCTCTGTTGAGTATTCAGATGAATTCTTCTCATATGAACATGTATGCAAAAGCTGGTCATGATCTACATCCAGATTATTGTCTGAGGGGGTGGAATGTTTCCAATCTTGCCCTTTGAAACAGTAAAGACAGTGAAGGGCAGGTGGTTAGACTGTGCTGTCTTGTCGTGGTTCCCCTGCCTTTTATAGGCATCTCTAGTATGATTTCTGTGGATTGAAATGGATCAAGGTGGCAAATAATTCTTTAACATTGCTGCTGCATGTAGTGCAAATTGGAGTCTGTTTTTTGCCTTCTAAGTCTCCTAAAACCTCTTTAGTTTGTCCTAGGACAAGTTGGATGCAGGCACAGTGACACTGAGGAGCCGCAGGCTCTCCCCATCACATAAACCAAAACAACACCAGGATGCTTTTCTCCGCTCCTGTCAGTAAGCTCACCCCTAACTGGGAACAGGATGGTGTGAAGCCAAGGCCAGTTTTGAAGTGGAAAACTCAGTCCTGGATATTTGTCTCTAATGATACCCTGGCACTTTTCGCAAAAGAAGGATAAGTAAAATAAATGGACTGCCACTTAAAACGGCAAGCAAAAACTTAGTATCTGAAAAAGAGGTTTTATATCTCTGATGTGTTCACAGACTATGATGATACGCACACTATAAAAGAGTGAAGTAGGTGAAGCTATTACTCCCAGTATCTCTGTAAAAGTTGTCTGAGATCCTGCAGAACACAGGATGCTATCTAAAACTGATGAATTATGATATGAAGTGTTAAGTAAGGATTGAATAGTGTGTGATACTAATATTGGGATACAAAGAATGATAGATAGATTAGTCAGTATGCAACCCCAAAATTGCTAAACTTGAGGAGTAGTATGTTATCCTAAAAACTGTAAATCTGGCACAGAATTTCTTATCGTTATGGTGTCTAGATAGAAAAAAATGCTGTTAAAAGTATTAAAAACTCTGAATTTCTATTAAAAACTATACTGCTTAGGTTAGTTCATTAGCTTAGTATCTAGAGTGGATTCATTTGCATGTGAAGACTTTTCTGTTGTTTCTGAAATTTTCAGTGGCTTTATAAGCAAAAGTATTGCAATTGAAAATTCAATGTATTTCATTAACCCTGTCCTTATTTTATGCATGAAAATGAAGAAGAGTTCTTGAATATTTTGATAGGGTTTTCTTTTTTACCTACCTACAGCTGTAATAACAGAATTCAGGTTCTGTAAAAGACGTACAAAAAGGGAGTAATCTCTTCCCCATGTTCATGATTGATTGATAGGAAAAGAATAATATATTTAAATTGCAAATGTGCATAGGTGCATATTCAGGATGAATATTATGAAGAAAACTTTCTCCTGCTTGTGATAGTGAAAAATAGGCACCTGCAGAGACTGTGGAGTCGGTAGCATTGGAGATTTTCTTAAAAAGGTTTCTTAAACTGGGCTATAGCCCCTGAAGAAGGGAGAGGTGAAAAGGAGGTCACAAAATGCTCATGATGTCTGGGAACGGTTAGTGGCCTTTAAATTCTGGCAGTTATTCAGTCTCTCCACAGTGGGGGAATGGATTTTTACACCTGCAGCCAGGAGTTAGAAATGGAACTAAGTTGCCGCCAGCAATTAGAGATTTTTGGCTGTTCCCTGTTAATATAAATTCTTGTCAACAGGAATTACAACTGCCTGTCACTAAGTTAGGGGAGTTGCAGAGAAGCAAACGGATCAGGAGGTTATTGCACAAAGAAAAATGATTCCAAAAGGCAGTCAAGCTTGAGAAAAAGTGTGAGGAATAGTGGGTTAGACAAATTTCTGTCAAGAGGCTCAGTAGCTGACCTTTGGGTGTCCCTTCTAACAGTTATGACTCTGCTGTCATAATCCTGGATTTTGCCTATGAAACATGAGGTTGGAGAGATGAAGTATATCCACAGTAAAGCTTGATCCTCAGAAGAGGCATTTTTCTTCCCAATGCCACACATCTCTTCATCACACTTTTGCACCAGACCTGCAGTGTATGGGGTGCAAAGGTGGACCTCGCTGGCGGCACCTGCCCACCTCGCGTCTCCCATCCAACAGTCAGTCAGTCAGCAGATCGACGGCCTTTATGTGGGACTGTAGACTTGCACAGCAGCTCTGCCCACAGCTTCTCATCACCTCCTTGCTCAGCAGAGCAGGGAACGTCACCCTAAAGCTAATGCTGCTCTAATCTTGAGTACAGTGCCAGCCTTTAACTCATTCCTTCTAGTGTTGTTTGTTTTTTTTTTTTAATTAGAGTAAAATTTTCACATGACATGGCATTGCATGAAAGGTGGAGGAAATTCAACCCATTTACTAAAGCAGGTATCTCTCCTGTCAGGGCACTGCTGGGGGTGGGGGTTCCCCGGGGGGGGAGGCAGGGCAGGGCCTGGCAGCCTGGGCCTGTCCCACCACCCCAGCCAGCGGGGAGGGTGGGGAAACAGGCCCAGGCTGCCAGGCACTGCCCTGGAGTGGACAGGCCCATGGGTCTGCCCATGGGTTGACATCAGGATCAGGCCCAGTGAGGAGAACCGGGCTGACACAGCCCCAGGATGGCCAGGCAAGGCCTCCCCGTGGCACCATCTGGGGGCCTCTCCCCACAGACATCAGAGGGAAGGGACTGCCCTTGGCTGCACTGGCTCTGTCTTGGCCCCAAGCCTCACTGCTAGATTCCCAGGACGGGGGTGTGTGCTGCAGGCCCTTACATCTCTTCACTTTTTATCGGGGTTGGGTTTACTACAGCATCCTGTAGATTTAAGTTATTGCTTCATGCATGACTGAGGGCTGTGCAGTAGGTAGGTATGAATGTGCCAGCTTTATATGCATCAAAACATGCCAAATTGTGCAAACTTCTGCCCAGGCTCATTTATTCAGTGCCTTTCAAGTAACAGTACTTATTTGAGGTCTTCTGCCTCTGGCTGCCCCCCAGGTCTGTACAGCTTCTAACTCAATACCTTATGTAGTAGGTTAAAAAAACTGCTTCTTTATAATAAGAAATTTTCAGAGACCATAGTAATCCAGAAGGCAATTGTTTAAGCCACTTACGCCAAGAGAAGCTGAGGAGATAGCTAATGTATGTTTTATTGTGACAGAAGATTACTTATTTGTCATCAGAGAGGTATTGTGGTATCCTAAATCTTTATGTGGCTCACTGGTGAAGAAAGCACTCTTCCAATGAGCATCAGATTCTAAGTTTAACATAGTAGATACTTAAACCAGAACTAAAAAGTGGGATTGTTGATAATGTGTTATGCTCGGTGTCTTTATTTGGCTCAATGGGGATTTGAATGTATATTTTTATTTTTGTTTTTAGTAGCTAAGGATGTCAACATTTTTTTTGATGAGTTAGAAGGTGTGAACAGCCCTTCCAAAGATGATGACTCCCTGCTTCACCATGGTAATTTGACCAGTACTTCTGATGATGCCAGCAGGTTGGAAGTTGTGGGAGAGGTAAGAACACACAGAACTATTAATATAATAATTATTCATATCCACTATAAAGAGGGAATAAATGTAATTTGATTTAAAATCTCATTCTGTGCAAGACAACTGGTATCTGGCCTTTGTCATGGGGACTGTTTTTCCATTCTAATATTGTAATGCTGAAATATAAAATATCTCAAGTTAAAAGGAGGGTTTTTTTATTTCATACACCCTCATTGAAAAGTCTATACAGGCCTTTGTTGTCTGCTTGTTTTCTGAACCAGCCAAGTCTAATGTTTCACTGCTTCTGAAAATAATGGAAAAGTTTTCTCTATATTAATCTTTTGGGGGGAAGGAGGGAGGAGGAGAATTTATCATAAATCTCTCATGAGAAGCGTTGGGTATCAGGTATGTGATACATTCCCTTCCAGCGAAGAACAAGTGACCTGGTGGTGCATAATGGTGATTCAGAGAACGTGCCGGGGAGGAATCATTCAGCACATAGTCCCTTTTAAATTATGTCTTAAGGCAGGTGTCATGGACCCAAGTATGAAAATTTGGGCTTAAATTCCTTTTTGTGTCTTTTGTGCAGAAAGGAACGTGGTACCCTTTAACTTTACTTCCAACTGCCCTACAACCCATGTATGTTAGGGCTGTCTCCTTGGGGAGTGAGGAGACCAGGGACTTATCTCCTTTCCCCCACCTCAACTGGAGTGGTCTGATGTGACCTGCAAGCTGTGCCTGAGGGTTTTTTGGCAGAGGGCTGACTGGCATAGAGCAGAACTGGCAAGGACCATACTAACAATTAAAAAGCATGGTAAGCTGTATGATATTGCTGAAGCCCCTGCCCTGACCCTGTTTTGTTTACTAGTTTAGGTAAAATTTAGAAGATATAATTACAGATTATGTCTTTTTCAGGAGCTAGAGGGTTTTGTGGTGCAAGTCTTTCGTGAAACACTGCTGAGGAGAGAGTTAGAGATTTTCCTTGCACTAGAAATTCAGCCCATAGAGAGCTGCACTCCTGGAATGTTTAGACAGATAATTAAAGCAACAAAATTCAGGGCACCCAGAGATATGTTTGACCTTGATCACAATTTCATCTTCCCCTTTACTCATCGCTCTTCCCCAGCTTCCCATACAACTTACAAAGGGCCCTCTTTGCCTGCTTGCACTATAATAGGTTAACCTGACATGATATTCCTGTGTTGCATTTTGGGATCATGTACCGTATGGTCTCTAACAAAAGGACATGGGTGAAAGGCACATGGTCTTTGCATGATGAAGAGGAAAAGTGAAGAGAAAATGGTCAGAAGGACAAGGATGAGATAGAGCAACATATGCTGCTGATATGGCAAAACATTTTTTCCCTGTTCGATGTATTCTTTGTTGTTTTTTAAAGGGAAAAGGAAAATGTCTGAGGAATATTTTCCTAGTTGAACAGATTACCTTTTTTTTCACATAACCATAACTGAGGAAAATAGCAATGTAGGTCATGTATATGTATAAGAGGAAAAAAAAAACCAGAAAATTGAAAGTCTTAATGGGACCTGAGGGAGGCTGTAGCCTACAAAAAAAGTTTCAAGGTACTTGGCCCCTGCTTAATTTCAGAAGGAAAAGATACACTGTTTACATGTTGTATGGTTTGTGTGGATAAATATGGGAGCTCAACTATACAGCGGTGGGGTGACCTCTGAAGCTTCAAGCTTCCTTTCAGTCTTTCAGTTTAGTTTAGTAGCTAAGAGAGCCTGTTGATCCCACTTAATGCCATCAGGACAGGGGATCTGACCCCAGTGAAAGTCTCTCTGAATGTATTGATGTTTGTTTGGTTTAGTTTTAAAGCTAACATTGCAGCCAAATAATTTAATATGGTTTCTGTCTGAATTCATTAAAATGGATTTACAATCAAAAATATTTACAAGGACATAGCAAAGGTTTCTTATCACTTTTGTGTAGCTGACAAGTTGAAATATTGTTTGCTTCAACTGTTAGTTGTTCATGCTCGACCAGAAGATCCAATGAAGGCTTTATGGATGGAGCTTTATCAACAGTTCCCTAACAGATGCAGAGCCAGACTGGGATTCAGCTTGTCCTTTGGCTAGAGATGGTTTTTTTTCCTTTGTTTTATGTTTCATTCAAACACAGCTACAGTCTGAGCAAATTAAAAATCATGTTTCCCTTTGTGTGCATTGATCAAAAGACTTTTCACATATGCCGATATAACAATTAGGTATACACTTTACAATTTAAATCCAGGGACATATTATCACTAAAATATTGTATTACTTCCACTGAAATTTCATTTTCTGAGAACTGGAGAAGCAGCAGAAAGAAAGTAAAAATTAAAGGAAAATGGTTTAGGAGCTGTACTCTAGGTTTGCATCCATTCTGCCTTTCTTTCTATGGAGTAATAAATTAGTCTTCTTTATCCAAACAAGGGAGAATGATGGAGCTGGGACAAAATTTGACTTCTACTTAAATGAGCTTATATGGCCCATTCTTGACATTCCAGCTAATGTAGGTAGTTTTGAAATTAAAATTGTAAGAGTCATTCCTACAGTCTTCACTTTAAGCATCAAACTGTTGATATTTGGGGGCAGTGTTATTAACATTGCACTGAAGAAGTTTCTTTTAACAATCTCTTATAAATTGGAACTTGCACTGAAGATTATGGCAGAAAAAAGGTATTCACATTGAAAAATAAGAAATCTGATGTTTTTTATGGTACTTATGATAGTTTGTGCAATTTCAGCTCAGTTTTCTTGTGTGTATTTACCAGAATACAAGCTAACTACATATTTTTTTTCCACCAAGTCCTGGTGGTCTTCAGTGATCAGGATGGATATGGAAAGAGATTATCTAAGCTTTCAGAGAAAACTACAAATCTGTTACTTCCTAACTTTTGAGCACTTGATTTTGCAGCCTAGATAATTTCATTATTAGAAAAGCTCCATGTAATTAAATATATTATGGTGTCAGGGAGAATATACCAACCAGTGAAGATACATGGAAAAATAAAGTTGCAGCTTCCACAAAATTATAATCAAAATGGGCAAAAGGGTATTAAGAAAAAAGAACACACAGAGAAAATATACTCGTTCTTTGATTAGAACTGTGCCTTAAAACCTGGATGGTTCTGGGTTCCTCTTTTTCTGCATAAGTTATGACTGTTAGTGGTGCAGGTATTAACCCCCTCCACCAGCTGTGAAGTCGCATGCAGGGGACTCTAATTTCAAGTAGCCACAAACAACAGGAAAAGACGATCTCTTTAGAATTCAGAGATCCTATCTTTATTGAGCATCCATACTGATAATAACCAGGTACCAAAATAACTGGAAATCAAGAAAGAATCTAATCTGTCATTAAATAAGTGAACATTGGAGTCCTTTCTGATTTATTTTTTTAAAGACCTGCAGGTAAAGTTTCAAATTTCCTTGATTCCCTAAGTGCACTTTTGTTTAAATATTCCATTTAAATTTTCTATAGCTGTTAGGGTTACAAATCCTCTGATTTTGGATAGTGAAACATTTGGGGTAAGCACTTTAGTCTGAAGCTCTCCTAGTATATATGTGTGTATGAGTCGTATGTCTATGAATGTTGATGGCTCCCAGTTGTGGATCTGAGAATATGAAAACTAGTGCATTCCTTGGAAAAGAATTCCTGATTATACAACTTTAGATATTTATATTACAAATAAAGCTGTAAAGATAGCCAGTAATGCTAAACTTCTTGCTAGAGTGAAGTCTTCCCTGTTCTTCCACTTTCTTCCGGCATCTTTTTCAGATGAAGGAATGGAGATTTGATGTATGTGACTAGACTACTTTCCTACCAAAAACTGCAGTCAGACATGGTTCTAGATATTTTTTTCAAATCAGTTTACGAAATCTGAAGTCATAACACAGGGAAAGGAGATGCAATGTCTGGAGACAGGTCGGCAAAGCTCAAGGTGGGAGAAAAGTCTCTGTCTAGAATAGTAAGCCTGGAATACTGTGGACAATGCAAAAGCCCTGCAGCTGCTATTTCCTGACACTGCTGGGCCAGCCTGACTGTCTCCATATCATGCTAGATCCTCAGAGTTCTTGTAAGTCCAGGCTCAGTCTATAAAGCTGCCTTACAGGCTATAACAGAGGGCAACTGGAAAGGTTCCTTCTCAGAGGCCATACCAGTCTAGTAGGGTTTATCAGTCTGGATATGACATACTGTGTTCCTAAAATGAAAAGGACCTCCTAGTACAGGTAAGAGTCCAAGCTGCCTTTCTGAGTGGAAAATGACAATACTGTAGTTGGGAGTGTTTCACAAGTCCAAGAGAAAGTGATTGTCTCAGGAAGTCATATTTATAGGGGAAGAAGTCCTACAAGTCAAATAACTCAGCTAAACCTCATAGACACTCTTTGATGTAAGGTTCTGCATGCACTGATGAGTCAGTGTAGGGCAAACCAATTTTCTTCAGAGAAAGATGAAACATAGGAAGCGTAAAGGGCAAATCTATTTTTCCAGTGGAGTCACTACTGCACGCAAAGACACAGTCCGGTGAAGTTCCCACTGACTGGAAAAGGGGAAATATAACCCCCATTTTTAAAAAGGGGAAAAAGGAAGACCTGGGGAACCAGTCAGTCTCACCTCTGTGCCTGGGAAGATCATGGAACAGATCCTCCTGGATGCTATGCTAAGGCACGTGGAGGACAGGGAGGTGATTCGAGACAGCCAGCATGGCTTCACCAAGGACAAGTCCTGCCTGACTAACCTAGTGGCCTTCTATGATGGAGTGACTACATCAGTGGACATGGGAAGGGCTACAGATGTTGTCTATCTGGACCTCTGTAAGGCCTTTGACACGGTCCCCCACAACATCCTTCTCTCTAAACTGGAGAGGTATGGGTTTGATGGGTGGACTGTCC